CTGTCAGAGATGTCTTAGACGCTGCCCTTGTTGGATTAACTTCTGTTGCATTTCACAATCTACTCTAGAAAGAAAAAAACAGCTAAAACAATTGAGCAATAGAAAACAGAGACAGTAGGTCAGATTTCCAAATCTGATCAAGATTTTTCTTGGAGTTAAACAAGCTATATTAAAAACAAAAGGCTCAAATCTGATAACAGGATTTTTTTTTTCTTTTAATTAAATTTAGGGAAGCCATTCATAGTAGCACCAAAACATCATCTTTAAATATTGATACTTGCAACAGTTAAGAATACAGATTGTACAACTGGATGGATCAGGAGAAGAGTAATCATGGGATATAGCAGCTCTTAGACTTAGAAGAAAATTCGACCTATGTAATTGGGGTTTATGAGTTTCCATGTGCTGTTACAACTCTTTTCTCCTCATTCCTCTCAGTAACATTATAACTTGTTGTTCAATTCCAGCTAGGTTTGACAGAGGTCACAGGGAAAGTACAGTTGAATTCAAGGCTTATGAAAATAAGATATTGGACAGAAAAACAGACATTATTAATACTGCAAATGTGAAGAATAACAGCAGATTGCTATGCAGTATGAGGCATGAGGAGGCTATGTAGGAGAAAGCACTTCTTAAAGGTCTCAAGCTTTGTAAGCTCTTTGTGTAGGTTTACCCACCATGGCTGGCACTCATGAGACATAAAGCCAATGGAAACAGACTTTGTTAACTAAAGTATTTGACTACTACTACTTTGCCTGTAGAGTTTCAGTGGGAATCAGGTCAATTGCACATGGATGAGCTAATTACTCATTGATGTTTGGCTGTTTCATCTGCATGATTTCAGTTCGGTTCCCCATGTTTATATCATGAGAAATCTAGCACTGTAGCAGAGCCCATCGTAAACCAGAGGCTTCACCATGAAGAACTTCCATTTTGAAACAGAGATTAGAAATGTCAGCATAAATGTTGTACTGCAAAGGTATGTAATTTCTCTGACCAACTGCAAGTAAGCGTTTGCTATGATTGCTTACAGTTCATAGAACGCCAGTTTCCGTTCATTCCAAAAGGGAGTGACTACTTCAATAATAGTTTCTGGAAGGATGACACAGCAATATAGAAAAAACAGCCTGTACTGTTTGCCCTGTAGGTTGGAGAACTTTTGTATATCTTGCTTCCATCAATGGAATTTTTTGGAAGAGGTTCATTGAGTTTGTATTAGATTGTCATTTCATTTTATTAACAAAGAAGGAAGGAAGGAAAGAAAAAGAAAGAAAGAAAATATTCCCTGTTAAGGGTTTTTGTTTTGTTGTTATTTGGCTTTGTTGTTTTCATTTTGTTTAAGAATTAGGTAGGTTTCAGATAATTCACTTCAAGTGCAGAATTTTAGGGTGAATTTTGAGACCCCTTGACTAGAGAGATTTGTTTGTGAATCACTGACAAACAGCTAACTATAGTCAACAGCCATATACTTAACTCTATCAGAACAAGCAGAGAAGAAAGCAGAGTTGATTTTTAGCTGGATAACAAATCATACATTTCTGATTTAACAGTCTGATACTGTAAGAGGTAAAAAAATGTATTCTGTTTCCTCAGAGTTATTTCTTTCAATGTATCTTTAAAGGGTATATTATTAGTCTGTCCTAATGCAAAATGATCAGCTGAAACTAATCTTACTAATGAGGTTCATTTGTTCTTTGACAAAGCAATAAATAGTTTCCTCAAGAAAAAACTTAACTAATAGTTTAGCCACAGTGTTATAATTAATTTTCTTCTCCGGCGCTAGCAAGCATGGAAACAAACAGTAAATTTTTCATTTGTTCATCTGTTCAGAACAACTGTTTAGCACAGATATGCTTGATTAATGGATTTAATTTGTTCCCTTCTCCTGTAGTCAGTTTTCATATTACACTGGTTATCAGAGGATAGGACAATAATGTGGGTACTCTCATTGTACTGTATTCCATCAGTGTCAGGGCTGCCTTCTAGCTCTGGGTCTGCATCTTTAACCTTTGTAGTCCTGCCGAATCTTTCATCAATCTGTGTTACAGTCACCTTGGGAAGGAAAAGCAGAAGCACTCAGTCAGCACTTACAGGTAGTAAAGTGTGTCATTATTTCTTACAAAATGCTGGCAGCAGTGCACCTTTCATTTCAAACAGAAATATGATTTGTGAGGTGAGCTACCCTACTGTTAAGAGTAGAAAATGTAAGTTAATAGTCTGGTTACTATCTGGATTTTATATTTATATTTGTATGTGTATGTTTGTAAGAATGCGCATACATATATATAAAATTATATTTGTTTTTCTTACAGTTTTTATATACAATATTTCTGTGGTTCTAAAAATTATTACTGTTACATACTTATAATTTATATGCCTGCTTCAAGTAACATCATAAATAATAAATAGACATTTCACAATCTTAGTTTCCTCTCAGTGGAACACATAGAATCATAGAGACTTGCCAAGGTTATTTAAGGGTTCAGGATAGTGAAGTGATGAACAATTAGAAGGTGCCACGTTCCTTCAGTTTCTATTATGGTAAAAAGGAGTTGAGCCAAATTTAGTGGCATACATGTACATATTACTTCTTTAAGTGGCACATTACATGCTTACGTAATAAATCAAGTGTAAAAGATCCTTAAGAACTGCTGAAGTAATAAGGTGTTTCACGGTGTCACCATAGGTATGCATCATACAAATTCTTTGAGGATGCTGGCATACAACTGGGAAAAATAATTTTAGTGAACTTAGATTTTTTTAAATTCAGCAACTATATAATTAAGAGTTGTACGTCCTCTGAATTATCATATGTATTTCAGTATTACACAGTGGTGTTGATATTTACTTGTGTTCTCCTTATTTCAGTTACGTAAAAATGAGAGACAGTTTAGGCCAAAGAACCTTCACAATGTAACTAGAAAATTACACAAGTGAAAAAAAAATGAAAAAGAAAAAAAAAGTGAAAAAGAAAAAAAGAAAAAAAAAAAGAGAGATGAGCATGACCTGCCCAAAATCACTGAGCAGGCTGCTGTCATAGCCAAGAGTAGACATGAGATCTGAGATACTGCTCAGTGTGTAGTCCACTGAACATATTGACTCCTTGTGACACTTGCATTTAAATACCTTCCATCCTTTTTATTTCTGCTACAATCACTTAATCAGGATGGAATAACACCATAAACACACTAGAAATTTCAATAGGCTGTTGTATAATGAGGAAAAATATTTGTTACACAGAGCTTGCTTTAGAAGAACCTTATACTAAATCCTCTGTGGCACATAGTGGCCCAACAAGTTGTCAGTTTTTTCTCTTCTTCTTCTGCAAAATTTTCTCATTTCTCAGACTCAGAAATGACCATTAATTTTTCCTATTTCAATTGTAGTTCCGGGTTGGAGAGAAAAATTGTGAGCATAATGAATAAAAGAAAAAGAATACCCATGACTGATGTTAGGTAATATCTTAATTGATGTAATTATGACATCTAAAGCAAAGAGTAAATCAATAAGGAAATAACAAAAATAGGGCTGTATAAAGATAGGATATTTCAGAAACATTTTGTAATTAATACTGACCGGAGTGACAACTTTCTAAAATGTCATTCTAGTTCTGATTTGTTAGTGTGGTTACCTGTTTCACCATCTTGAAAGATTTTTTTTCCTTTTTTTTTTTTTTTTTCTTCATTCAATTAAGGACAGCTTGATTTGCAAGACAAGTTGAGAATGGCCAAATATAAATATTTGGTTCATCTTTTGATTTTGAGAGTGTCCACACTAAATTTTCGTTGTCTTGGTGAGAGTACTGGAAACTCCAAACCAAAGCAGAAGTTGGATTTTACCTGTGAATCATTTTTTCTCATTACAACGTACACATAAAATCTGTTCAAAATTTCCATGCAATTATTTTCATTTAGAAATGATATCAACGAAAACAAAAATAACCAAGCACAGCATTTTTTTCTAGGTTGTAAATTGCTAATTGTGCAAGTTTAAAAAAAAATAAAACCTGGGAAAAAAAAGTAATGGTTATATTTTTAAGTTATAGAAATCATAAAATGATAGAGTAAACTGAGTGGGAAGGGACCCATGAGGATCATCAAGTCCAGCTTCTGGGGCTGCACAGAAAAATACAAAAATCAAACTGTAAGTCTGAGAGTCTCTTCTTGAACTCAGTCTCAGTGCCATGAGCACTACCCTGGGGAGCCTGTTCCAGTGCCCAACCACCCTGATGGTGAAGAGCCTTTTCCTGACATCCATCTTGAGCCTCCCTTGTCCCAGCTCCATGCCATTCCCTCAGATCCTGTCACTGTCCCCACAGAGCAGAGCGCAGCGCCTGCCCATCTGCTCCCCTTGTGAGGGAGCTGCAGGCCACCATGGACCAAGTGACCTCCAGAGGTCCCTTCCAACCTCAGCCAGTCACTTCAGGAAAACAATTTGCAATTCTGTGACAGCGGTGCACTCAGCACCCTGTGCCCACGTTCCCCCACATAGTGCTGCGCAGACACGGTCAGAGCATTTGTTCACATAGGCTGTTTATTGGTGTCAATATATAGGATGAAGCTCCCTGATGGAACGGACTCTCTCCAAGAGTTTGGGTGCTCACTGCCTGGAAGAAGTTGAGCAGTCCAGCTGCTTGGGAGGCCGGGGACACCACCATCCATCTCCTCAGGTACCCTCTCGTTGCCTTCCCTCTCGAGGAAGCGGTTGAGGTGTTTCTTCTCCAGGCAGCAGCAGAGGCACTGCAGGAGGTCATCCAGGTGCAGGGGGCAATCTTTCCTTTGCCAGGCTTGCCAGGGCTGTGGCTGTCAGGTGGTGAATCACAGCCGTCCTCAGGGCGTGGGGGGAAAAGCCTTTGCTCACCAGCATACGGGCGCGGGGCTGCAGATGGTTGAGGTGGAAGCTGTGGGGTCGGGCATGCCTGGCCGTGTGCCCGACAGACTGCATCTCTGCCACAGCGCAGCTCTTTGGCGGCGCCGTGCTGCTGGTGAAGCTGGCCGCGGCTACTCCAGGCTCAGGAAGGAGTCCGAGTCGTCTAGCCGCACCCCAAGCGTGATCTCAATGGAGAGGGTGCTCTGGGAGGCGTTGGCCAGCCTGATCTTGCAGGAGCGGCGGGAGGGCAGCACCGTCAGGCGGCAGTGGCGCGACTGCGGCAGAAGCTCCCAGGCTGCTTTCACCAAGGCCTGGAACCAGCGAGTGGTTTCCTCCACATCCAGGTAGGAGCCGGTGCAGAGGGTGCGCAGCAGGCTGGGCTCCTGTCTGCTCCTCAGCTCGTCCTCGGGGTGGTGGAGGAAGCACAGCATGTCCCCCACCAGCCGCTCCCTCGCGCAGGCGCACTCCAGCTCCACGCGCAGGCCGGGCTTCCTCGCTGGCGTCTCCCCCTCGGCGCCCAGCTCCGGGTGGAAGGCGTGCCCGGGGGGAGGCCTCAGGGGCACGAGCAGGCGGTAGAGGACGTTGTCCTGCCGGGTACTCCCGTCTTCGGAGAAGCAGCCCACACCGATGGCCGGCTGCAGCCGTGGCTTGAAGAGAGCTTCCCCGGAGAGTCTTTGGCAGGCACCAAGAAGCTTGTCCACCAGCTCCTCCACCACCTTGCACTTGTCGACCATGTGCGGCGCCGGCCACTGGGTGCGATTGGCCCAAACCCTGCCCAGATCCCGGGTGTCATCGGTGTTGGTGTTGTCTTTGTCCTTCTTCTTCCTTGGGTAGCTGCCCTGCTTGCTTCTGCTGCGGAGCCCAAGTCTCCATTTCCTGAGCCACCGGCAGAGCCCGAAGAGCAGGACAAGGAGGTCAATAAAGGTCCAGAGCTGCCACTGCTGCAAGGCAGTGAAGAGCAGGGCTCCCAAGGCCACCCCGCTCTGCTCCTGGCTCCTCTCCTCCATCTCATGCAGCAGCCGAGCCATGCCTTCAATCAGCTGCTCCACATGCTGCTGCATTCGCTCATTTGCATCCGCATCCATGTGATCATCCACGAACCACGGCTTCTGGGCAATGCCCAGCACAGCCAGGGCGAGGAAGATCAGCCGAGCCATGGCTTGCAGGAGGTGCAAAGTGCACACACCGACGGCCAAGGCCAAAGTGTGGAGGCGCTGCTGCTGCTGGCCCTGATGACAGCTCCCCCGCTGTGACTCATCCTCTGTGCTGTCACAGGCACCACAGCCGCATCACACCAATCCCCCTCCTCTCTCCTGCTCTGCTCTCTTTATCAAAGGTGAAGAGGGCCTCTGCTGGGTGACTGTTGCAGAACTAAAGAGGGAGAGTCAAAAGACATCTGGACATGGAATCACAGACTATCCTGAGTTGGAAGGGACCCATGAGGGTCATCACGTCCAGCTCCTGAATCCACACAGGACTATCCAAAAATCAAACCACATGTCTGAGAGCATTGTCCAAATGATTCTGGAATTCCAGCAGACTTGGTGGCGTGACCAGTTCTCTGGGAAGCCTTTTCCCCTGCCGACTGCCATTTCAGTGATGAACCTTTCCCTAACCCCCAGCCTGACCCTCCCCTGTCCCAGCTCCACGCCATTCCCTCGGGTCCTGTCGCTGTCCCCGCAGAGCAGAGCTCAGCAGCTGCCCCTCTGCTCCCATCGTGAGGGAGCTGCAGGCCACCATGAGGCCTCCCCTCAGCCTGCTCTGGGCTCAACAAGCCCAGGAACCTCAGCTGCTCCTCACACGTCTTGCCCTCTAGACCCTCCACCACTTCCATGGCCCTCCTTTGTACACTCTCTCCAGTAGGTCTGTATCCTCCTTCCATTGTGGCACCCAAAACTGCGCACAGCACTCGAGGTGAGGCCGCAGCAGTGCAAAATGCAGCGGGACAATCGCTTCCCCGGACCGGCTGCGCTGGGCTTTGTGCAGCCCAGGGTGCGCTTGGCTCTTCTGGCTGCCAGGGCATGCTGCTGGCTTTTATTCAACTTGCCATGAACTAGAAATCTCTGGATCCCTCTCCACGGGGCTGCTCTCCAGCCTCTCATCCCCCAGTCTGTACGTATATTCAGGATTGCATCTTCGCTCCCAGGTCCAGAATCTGGCACTTGCTTTTGTTAAACGTCACACAGCTGATGATTGCCCAACCCTCTAGTCTGTCAAGGTCTCTCTGCAAGGCCTCTCTGTCCTCGAGGCAGTCAGCAGCTCCTACTAATTTAGAATCATCTACAAACTTACTTAGTGTGAATTCAAGTTCTGTGCCCAGATCATTTATGAAAACATTGAAGAGAACTGGCCCTAAAATGGAGCTCTGGAGAACCCCACTGGTGACTGGCCACCAATCTGATGTAGCCCTACTTACCATAACCCTTTGAGCCTGGCCCTTCAGGCAGCTGTTTGCCCATCGTACTATGTACTTGTCTAGCTGTATGCTGGACATTTTGTCTGGATGGATACTGTGAGAAGCAGTATCAAAAGCTATGCTAAACTCCAGAAAGATTACATCAACTGGCTTCCCTTTGTCACCTAGATGGGTAACCTTGTCGTAAAATGAAATTGAGTGAGTTAAACAGGACTTTCCCCTACTGAACCTATGTTGGCTATGACCAACGAGCGTGTTGTCTCTGAAGTGTTTTTCAATAGCTCTCAGACTAGTCTTCTTCATGGTTTCACCTGGCACCAAAGTTAGACTGACAGGCCTGCAAATACCACGGCCTTGGGCATGGTCCTAAGCAGCCTGCTCTAGGTGGCCCTGCTTAAAAGGTGGGGTTGGACCAAGTGACCTCCAGACGTCCCTTCCAACCTCAGCCAGACACTGGCTCCTGTGTTTTTGGAAAACAACACAGGCACCACAGCTGCATCACAGCAATCCCCCTCCTTTCCCCTGCTCTGCTCTGCTTTCCAAAGTGAAGAGAATCTCTCTAAGTTCATCAAATGTATCGAAATGATACATCAAGGTAGGTTCGTATTAAGAAAACATTCATCACTTATAGGGCAGTTGGACATGGGAAAAAGCTTCCCAGAAAACTGGTGAAGAGAACCTCTCCAGGGTGAGTGTTGCAGAACTAAACAGAGAGAGTCAAAAGCTATTTGCATATAGAATCATAAAGTATCCCAAGTTAGAAATAACTCACAAGGATTATCGAGCCCAGCCACAAGACAGTCCAAAAATCGAACCATAAATCTGAGAGCACTGTACAAATAATACAAATAAACTTTTTTTTTTTTTTTTTTTTTTATAAAAAGACTTGATGGGTCCCTTCCAAATCGTGTTTTTCTGTGATATCATTACTCTAAATCTTTGAAGTTTCTCTCAATTTCTTATAGGAAATTTTAAGAATACAATCTTCATTTTGTGGAGATGTGCTAATAACACAGACCCTCCTTGTGTAGCACTAAAAAATACAAACATTCTTCAAGGTGATTAATAGCTCTGTTTTCAAATTAAAGTATGAAAAGTGTGTCATGTTGAATATCACACAGTAATCATTGACTGCAATAAAATCCTTACTGTCATGAATAAGTGACTTCAGTTCTGTAGGGAAAAATGAAGAGTAATACAGCAATTAAATTGTAATGTACCTCTTTTGTGTTTGCACATTAAAATAAAGTTGCCTTCAAACCATAGTTCTAGGACTTACCATCTAAGGAACATTTTATTTCATAAGCTCAGTGGTGATATTTTTATTTAAATGTAGCACTGTGTGTGCACGTGTCCCTGAACACATAATATCTATTCAAACTCCATCATTAGCATGATAGCTAACAAGCTTGGAGATGACTTAGTTAAAGGTCAGGTGCTTCATTAAAACCACTTGTCAGCCATTGGAGGATTTCCAGGAATGGTGAGCTGTGACAAAAACAACTGAGTTTATATTATACTTTGCACAATTAATTCTAAAGAAATTAGAGGCAATTTAGAGGAATAGCTGAGAGACCAGTCAAGATGAATTACACTCATCTGTACTAAACCAAAGTGCTTCATTGCCCTGGCAATTAAAATACTGTTATCTGTATAGAAATGACCATTATGTCAAGCAGCCTGAGCCTGTAATCCTTAGTCAAAAAATGCATCATAAGTTTTCCTCAGGAGACATAACTGAATTCAGAAGCCCTCCTAGCACATTCAGTAGCATATTCAGGGCTTTGTATTTACTGGGGAAAGCATCCTTGTATTTTTGATACAGGGCTGCAAAGTCTGTCTGTTCAAACAGAGGAATTGGAAGTCACTTAAGGCTCTTGCTTAGGGAGATTGTGAACAATGTATTTTAATATATTCCGTACTTCCTGTGTCTGTCATACCACCACTTAACCTAGAGTCGAAACAAATGCTGCATTCTTCTATATGCCAAAGCAGGAGGCTGTTCCATTGAGGGGTTACTGTTCTACACCATTTTTGGTCTGCTGTCTGAAGGACATACTCCTGTCTTACTGTGGCTTTAACTTGGCATGCCCAAGTAATTAAAGACCGTTACAATGGTTGAAGTAATTCGATGTATGAAAATGAACTGTTGAAACAAGACATTTATACTATTAGAGTAAGATTACTTAAGTACTCTAATCTGACACATTGACAGAGAAGTTAACAATTTGGAAGGGAATAATTTCCTTTTAATGTCTTGTTACAAAATCTGAGAACAAAAAGAATGAACTTGAAGTAGGTATTGTTAATTCGGAGAAAACAGCGTAGAATTCACTAGTGACAGAGAGCAAGATGTTGCAGCTTGGATTTAAAACAGGCACGGCAATGTACTGAATGTTTACTTCAGATGATTAATTTTTCACTGTTTAAAAAAATAAGTTATCCAAGCCTCAAGAAGTACTGTGAGCTGTAGTTGAATGAAAGGACTGCACATCTTCAACTTAGGTGAAACTTTTTGTTATAGTGTGCTTGTAGTACAACAAATACACAGTAATTAAAGCCAGAATGAAAAGCAGGAAGCAAATTGAAATAAATATATATTTTAAAAAATCCATATTAATTTGGTTTTCAGGAATTTTAATTTATTAGAACATTCACAAGTAGCAGCCATATGAGAAGATACATAAAGAACTTTTTATTAAATTTATGACTGTTGAGTTAGTTAATCTTCTTGCCCTACTTCAGAAGCTCTCTTGTTCTTTCTCTCTAATGGCATGAGAATACATTTTCCATTTTTGTTCCAAAGCCTGAAAATTCAAATTAATTAATATGGTATTTCCATAGCCTCAGTATTATTCAGAAGAATTTTTATTATGTACTTCCCAATATCAGCTGTGTTCTTCCAGCTTTCAAGGTTTCTGTTTCTCCTCTCCCAAAGCTAATGTTGAATTGAGGGAAGGTGGAAGAAACAATCAACTGGCCTGTTTTTACCAAAGAAGCTGAAGTGCCAAAGAAGTTTTCCTCCCTTCCTCCTGTTGCCTTCTTCCTGTAAATACATATTATCATTTGAGAACAGAGGAGGACAGCTGAGACTTTAATTAGCTGCTTTTTTAAAAGAGGTGTGAATATGCATAGATCAGATAATCAGTGGTTGCGCTCAGTGGTGGATAAAACAATAAGAATGTCTCTGAACATTAAAATCATGCCAGCCCTGACGAAAATCTTATGAGTAAGAAAAAAATCAGAAGTTAACAAAACTGGCTCCATTAAAATCTCAAGATACATTTCAATACACAAATTAGACTACACTGTTGACAGAGATCTAGTTTAGGACCTCTTTCTGGGATTTCTTGTCATGTAACAGCTGGGTACAATAGAAATGTTTAAATATTTCCTGTGACAATTTGTTAAGAGAAGCTACTCTATGATCCTGTTGTGTATCACAGCTTTTATCCTTTAATTTCACTAAAAAGTTACTTCTAATATGTATAAATACATAAGAGGAAATTATTGAGAGTAGCTACTCTATACCTACTTCAGACTACTGCAAAATGTCATAATGACAATCATCGTGGATGTCTGTTGGGAGGAATAGGTTGAGAACAGAAGATTGGCAAGTAGGATGGGATCAGAACAGAAGACTGGCAAGAACTGTAAATACACTCAGGTGACCTTGCATCTGGGAATGCATAATATCTGGGGAGTAGTAATGTAGGAAAGCATATAGATTGCATTTCATGC